AACACTATAAGTACCATTTTAAAAAAAATTATGGAGCAACCTACGTATACAAATATTTGTATATATTTTTTGTTTCAATTAAGATGAAGCTGTAATCAACAATGTACCAAACTCAATTGAAAGCTTTACTGCACGTTTTTTTTTCTACGCTACAATAGCTTTTGTATAACCAATATCTAGCTTCTGAACAACTTCATACCGATCTAATAAAAAAAATATATACACACGTCTATGAGAACACCAATAGAAACAAGGCTGCTGGAACACACTGGTATGGTCAGTTCATAAGTAATATGTGAAGTGTGTTCCAGCAGCCTTGTTTCGATTGGTGTTCTCATAGAAGTGTATATTTATTTATTTTTATTAGATCGGTATGAAGTTGTTCAGAAGCTAGATATTGGTTATAAGTTAAGCTAACAATTGAGTTCAGTACATTGTGGATTTGTTTTGAGTGGTACTCGCTATGGTGATGTGATTCGGTTAACCTTGTTCAGATACACTTTTTGTTGATTTATTTAAAAATTACGTTACAATGTACATGACGTTTTCAAAGTATTCGTTTTTTTCTTGCTTACCACAATCTGAATTCGTTTGGCAAAGCTTCACACTTCTACAAATACAAAATTCGATTCATGTCTACGCTGTTAGATCGAACTTGTTTCGTTTGCTGAAATAAGTCTATTTATTGCATAGTAAATGCAAAGCAGAGACATTTAGTTGCACAGATCAAATTACACGCAATAGAATATTATTATTCATTTGATCTCATGTTTTCTTTATTAATTTGCGCTTTGCATTAAATGATATTTGCAGTCACTTTTTTCTTTACTCGGTTCGATGATTTTTGTTTTGCTTGCGATTTGAATAGCCAACTCAGTGCTAATAATAATAATATTGTGTGTGCAAATTAATTTTACTTTTCCGCTGTGTGCAGCACAATTATTCCAATCACCCCAAATTTTGAAATCGCTAAAAATCGTTTTTCTACGCGTTTTGGGTATAGAGAAGCACAGAGCAACCGTTTTTGTGCCATGTTAATGTGGGTATGTGGTACACTGTACCCTATACCCTGTACGCAAAAAGTTTGTTAGCACGATAACTCTTCTTAGAGAAAAATAAATCAAAATCTGATTTGACAGGGTGATTAGGGGTCGCGAGGAATAGGTAGGTATTATTTTTGAGCGATATTCGTTCATCGGTGTATCCATGATGCACCCGAAGGTGTATGAAGTATGCAAAAACTTGTTAACTCCATAAATCTTTCCTCAAAGACGCAAATTAAAGTTTGGGGGGGATTTGTTTTGAGATACAATCAAGTTTTGAAACAATTCCTTTGAAAAAATCACAAAAAATTGAATTTTTGTATGGGAGCCATGCTTTTATTCAACCGTAATGACGTGAAATTTTACACAGGCTATTTTTTACTCATAAAAAAAACATTCTGAAAGTGTGAATAAATTTAAATCAAAATTAGGCGTACCTCTCATACAAAAATTTCGATTTTTGACACAAAAACGAATATTTTGTATGAGATTTTTTTTAAAGAAAATAGCCTGTACAAAGTTTCATGTCATTACGATATCTTACAGGCATTGCGAACATTCAAAAAATCATATTTTTGGTAATTTTATATTTCCGTACAACACACGCTCCATATATTTTTAACAAGCGTTCAGAAAGACATACATTTATGCGAGCAATTGAATGATGCTTGCATCATTTGATGCGCATCGCTAGTGCT